CCCATAACGGGATACCGACCGTAGCTCTCCCTCCCTCAAAAAAGGGCTTCGAACCACCCTTAACAAGTACCCACGTCCGATGGCAAGGAGGGGGCTTATGACCTTCCACGGAAGGTGATAGGTCCCCTACCGAAGCGGCCGCGGGTGCTCCCTTTTTGGGGCTCCACTTCTGCAGCGCTCGGCAGATCGCTTTCTGTGGCACAATCGAGCACGAAAGGTTAATCGGCCTGGGCCGCCAGTTTGCTATCAAGGTTCAAAAACGAACCGTTAGCTCCCCGCGAAATGACAGGGGGGGCTAAATTAGATTTGACGAGAAAACAAGGCACGCAACGCCACAGCCTCTTCCGACCCTCCGCTTAAGCGCAGCTGCAGTCTAGAGAATGACGCTTCCTGTCCCTCCTTTCCTTTTCCTCCTATTTCCCCTTTTCTTTTTCTTCTTCTCTTTCACTTTGATGACTACCCGAATAATCCGACTTGAGGCTTGGCGCGCGACAGAAAGGACCACGCCGGTCCCCTTACCTTCGCGTCTCCGGGTTTACCCCAGCAACTACCATGGCTCCACAGGTCGGTAGTGCTCTGCTGTACAGCAGGGCGCCGAGCCTGCGTGAGCCAATGGAAAGCCCGGTGGCGCACCCAACCCCTTTGCCGTGGGAGCGCTCGCCGGACTAGTTCAAGGGCAGGACCCGCACTGGATGGGCTTAGTATACTACCTCAGCAGTGAGCAGGCTGTACCCGGCTCGCTGCAGAGGTTTGCAGGTAGGGAGCTGGTATGTTGTACGGTCTGAGCAAGGAGCCGGCACACAGTGGGGCTCATCGAGAAGTATCCGGTACACAGCGAAGGGCTCATCAAGAAGTATTCGGTACGTAGTGGAGGGCCGGGGCACCGCGCCCTCCGACACCACGCTGTACAACACCTGCTAAGGCACTATATCAAGCCGAATCAGGTGGACTGGGATGAGAAACTTGCTCTCGTCGCGAGTCTGTACAACAACGTTGTGCACAGCCCAATAGGGGTGAGCCCCAACAGTCTGCTACTGACCTTCAAACCTAGACTGCCCCTAGATTTTCCACTACTTGAGAACCAGCCTGCTGCTGCACCAGGCACCTTAGAATTCGCTTATCGATATGAGCGCCTGATGCAGCAAGCTGTAGAACAAATGCGTAGAGCACAGACAACAATGATAGAATCTGATAACCAACACCGCCGCCCATCTACATTCCAGGTAGGGGACAGAGTCTGGGTCAAAGCCTCTGAACTGGGGCAGGAGCATGGGATCTCTTCGGGCCATGGGAGGTTCTAAATATTGTCGGTAATGATTCGGATGGGCCATCGTATGTAATACGGATCCCTGGTCACCTTTGCACCTACCCTGTCTTTCACGCCTCCAAGCTCGCACCTTCCAAGGAAACTGACCGGTTTCCCTCTCGTCGCTCAATGCTGGCCCCAATCATGGATGGAGAGGTCGACATCGACGACATCGTGGAACACAGAGAAGTGCCAGTTCCAAGACCCACAGGCAGGGGACGTCCTCCTAAGCCAAAGCTGCAATATCGTGTTCGTTTCAGACATCACACTGATCCAAAAGAGGACAGATGGTTTACCCAAGAGGAACTGTTGCAGACCGCTCCACATGTTGTCGTTCAGTACGAGAAGTCACCGCAGGAAGGAAAGCGCCAGATTGAGTGATTGAACTTCTCAGAGGACTGTCGAAGTATGGAGGAGGGAATGCGAGGCTCAAGGCCTCGATGAGTCGTATTGGGCCCTGTTTTCAGCAATACCGGCCGCCCTAAGTGAAGGCAGGCCTGACAGGGGACGAGAGGCCTATTTTGGGCTTTCCACTCAACTGGGAAATTCAGGCAGTTGCGCAGCGCCAGTTGGTTGAGAGAGCCCACGCCCTGCCTGCCTTTTTCCAAATGTATCTGAGGCAGGCCCTGGGCCAGACACGGGGTAAGAACTGTACCCAGGCCAGTGGCAGTTAGACACGGGTAACCACACCAGGCCCTGTGCCTGATTCCCCTGGACCAGGGCTCAACCACCTGGGGCCTACCGGAAGCTTCTGAGCAGGGGCCAAGCGCAGCCAGGCAGCATGCAGCAGGCAGGCCACTTTCATGATGCCCGTGGACATTTTGGGTTCCTAAAGTCCTATGCAGCCCTGTCGCAGCGCTTCTTCTGGAAGGAGATGCGGAGTGATATGCTGCGTTATGTGGACACCTGTGAGCTCTGCCAAAGGAATAAGGTCCACCGTAGGCCTCCTTTGGGACTGCTCAAACCCTTGCCCATACCTGATGGCCCTGCTGAATCTGTGGCGATAGATTTCACAGATTTAGGCAAGACCACCCCTCGTGGCATGCGTCAGGTTATGGTCTGCGTGGACATGTTTTCCAAATACGCAGAATTCATCCCCTTGCCAGAGGTAGCTAGGGTTCCGGCTGTGAGAGCAGCCTTTTCTGAGAGGTGGGTCACTCACCATGGACCGCCCACTTCATTAGTCAGTGACATAGACCCCAGATTTTGCAGCGATGAGTGGTAGTCCTATTGTAAGGACTACCTGCACTCACGATGGGACATGACCTCTGGTCATCATCCTGAAGCCAATGGTCAGGCTGAGGTGATGAACCAAGTCTTATTCCAATTGCTGTGTCCTGTCATCTCTCCATATCAGCAGGACTGGGATCTTCACTTGGCTAGGGCACAGCTCATGTATAACATGTCTGTCCACTCCTCGACAGGGTTCAGTCCCTACCGGTTACACTGGGGGCGTGAACCACGACAGCCTCTCGATGACATCATCAATAAGGCCAAGCCTAATCTGACACCAAGCACAGCAGAGTTCACCAGACGTTATCGTCTAGATGTGGAAAGAGCCCGCGCAAACGTGTTCAAAGCCCAAAAGGCTATGGTTGAACAAGCTAATCGCCACAAGCGGCCTTCCCCCATCCGCACTGGTGATTATGTCTGGGTGGCCAGTTCTGAGCTGTCGAGGGAGGAGGATATCTCTCCCAAGCTGTTGCCACGTTACCTGGGTCCATGGCAGGTCCTAGATACAGTGGGCGCTGATCCCTTCGGTCCGTCGTATGTTATCGACGTCCCGCTGCATCTACGCACCTACCCGGTCTTTCATGCATCCAAGCTGCTGCCTTTCACTCCAGCTGATGCATTCCCAGACCGGCCCCCTCAGTTTGGTCCACCGATCCCTGGCAAGGGATATGACGTGGAATGGGTTGAGGATGAGTGGGGCACCGGCCCCGACCGGCAGTATCTTGTGAGGTTCGCATTCCAGCCTCCTTCTGAGAACAGATGGTTCTACAAAAGGGAACTTCTCAAGACAGCAAAGTCAGTTGTCCTGCGATATGAAGCGGGGAAACCTTCCTCGCCGTTCACCTCACCTACATCCCTAGCTCGGAGGTCCTCGCTCCCGGGGAGAGTAAGCCTGCGATGACCTGCTAATCTCTACTGCCGAGATCGACTGCGAGGCTGTATAGTACAGCGGTAGGCTAGATTCGTAATTTTGTTTGGCTGAGGGCTAACCGAGAGACCTACCTGTGAGGAAATTCGTGAGGGGCATATCTGCAAATTCGGGAAAATACAGCCCTAACACTAACTGAATTTCCTACCACTACCGTAGCTGCGAATAGCAGGCCCGGACTACCCCTAGGACAGACAGGCCCTAAGGGCCTATGCTGATAGACGGTCCTATAGCCTATAGTCGGGTCCGGTAGAGGCCGAGAGGCCGAAACAGAAACGGTACCGGTTGGTCAGTCAGTCCGGTCTAGGTCTAGTCTAGGGTAGCTGTAGTCTATAGATAGGTTAGGCACATCGGTTCAGAACTTTTGGCAGTGCATTTCTCGCGAAGCAGCGTTGGAGAAGCCAAGCAAGTTGGTGGCGGTGTTTGTCTGCAGGCGGCATCCTGAGACCTCGCCATTGACAGCAGCCATAGCCGGCCCAGTCTGAGTCTGCCATAGCTGGGGCATCCTCAGCGCATCTACCCCTGGGGTATCTGCGTATGGCCGGGCTACATCGAGGCTCTACACTGTGTACTCGTGGGTGGTGGCAGCCATAGCTGCCTGTCCTTCGTCAGAGTTGTCCATCGGCACTGAAGACTTCATTGCAGGACCTGTTCTTCATCAGGGTGGTTGGCGCTGGCCTCTGGGAGGCCATTCTGATGTGGCGCTACTAACTGGGTGTAGGATAGAGAGTGGGGTGAGAGTTCTGAGAGTGGCGAGATACTGGAACAAACTCTGTTACGATAATTGTGTGAGTTGGCTCATCATCAGTGCAATTCCAATTGTTATCCTCGCAGGTTCTACTTGTGATTGGTTGTTGGGAGTGTGTCTGAGAGAGAGAAACACTGTGTGTCTTCTCCCCATCTGTGCATAGCTGTATTCCGCTGCCTACTCTGCTCTGTGTGCAGTGTGGACTCTGTCTCCTCTCCCCCATCTCTTATGCATGTATGGGCGTGTATGAGATTGTCTGTGTGTGAGTGGCGGTAAAAATCGTCAGACAACCAAGTTCATAACACCTAGCCCCCATTCATAATGCCTTCCCCCCCCACCCCCGAACCTGAAAAAGAAAATTGAACCCGAATTGGGGCTGCTTTTGGGGGCCGCAGAAACGCGCCATTAACAGGGGCTATATATATATATTTTAATCCTGTACGTTTAATATGCCTGGTTTGGTCCAGGCTAGAGAACCCCCAGGCGAGTCGCCCAGCTGCCCGGATGGACCTGCCCGGCGTTGCGTCCCATGTAATGTGTTCTCATAGTTAGAACTTGGCTGATAAATCCTTGTGAAATGCAGAAGTGATCTGAATCTTGTGAATCTGAATTCTGTCACAAATGTCTCTGGGATTCAAAAAGTATCATTAATTGGATGTCATTTGTTCTATCCTGTGGTCTGCTCAATCTCAAACATCCAGGTTCATCCCAGTCTACAAGTATGTTTTGCCTCTTCTGTCTGTTGTTTTTTCTGAGACTACTTCGAACGTGTGTGCTGCATGCAGGGGCGGATAAGCGGTTCCTTGGACATCGTCGATCTGGATATTCCACAGCCAGAAGTTCAGACCCAGGAAAGGGGTCTGATGGAGATAGCGCTAAAAGCGCTAAAATCAGTCTTCGTATTGAGCCAGAAATCCTGTATGGACCGTGTGTTCAGATACTGGGACGTGGTCAGAGCTTTGGAGAAATGGCTCTCATCCAATCATGTTCGAGGTTCGTGGCCCTCCCCCTGCTTATCCTGCTTGCAGTTTTTTCCATCTCCACCGGGAGTTCATGGTGGAGTAGATGCATGTCACTTGACACACGTTTGTTCATTAACTTAGGATGGTTGTTCAGGCCTTCTATGGGTGGATGAGCACGGAAGGGGGAAACAAAGGATCGGATGGGAGAACAGACCAATATTGGGGCTTGCACGGGCCTCCCTCGCAAGCCCTGGTGGGCTAGGACTGGATTATGAGCGCCCTTATGGCAGCGCAACCCACTTTTGGGAGGCCCTTCTTTCTTTCTTCTTTTTTTTTTCACGTACCGGGAAGGCCCTTCGTTCATTCTTTCAGGCAGCATGAGTTACATTGTCTGTGCTTTTTCTTTTTTGGTGTAATGTGGAGTTCAGGTTCCCAGATTTTTCGTCTTCTTCTGATGTTTGTTCCAGAAGTGTGTGTTTCAGGATAATATCTTGATGTGAAACAGTTTTCACCTTTGGCAGTAGCCGATGCAGATCCCAGGGGTCGATCCCTTGACCTCAGCTTACCTGTGTACAGTATCTGCACAGTTCCCTGGAGTTGAACCCGTGACCTGC